CCTTTGTTTTGAAAAGTTTTAAAAACTCCCAGAAATAGAAATGAAGCATTTGATACAATGAAGAGGTCTCCATATGCACTCAGGAGCAAGGGCTGGGATCTGAAGGGCCGTCCATCTCAGGAAAAAGAAGCCCTTGGGCCCCGATCCTGCGTGTGAGGCCTGGAGCTGCAGAGAAGCCAGCGGCAGCCTCCAGCCTGAGACCCTGCCTGAGGCATGTACACAGTGGTGACAGCTATCAGCACCAGCTCCGTCACAGGGCCCCCTGCCTGCTAGCTGTGTGGACTTGGGAAAGTCCCCTGACCTTTCCGTTTCCTCTTTATCTGCAAGTGGAGATCACCGAGCCTCATGAGGTGGTGGCCAGGACTGGGGAAGGCGCCACAGGAAACACTTGGCAAGGCAGACGGGGGAGGGGGGGGGGGTGTTGGGAAATGCTACCTACTGTGACTAGTACCACAGCTGCAGACCCAGCAGGGTGAGTTCAGCTCAGCTCAGGGTTAAGGGCAGCAGAGACAGGAAGGCTACACACCCAGGTACTGCAGGCAAGAAAAAAGATGCGAGGACAGAAATGAGGCTGCTTTCATAAGCTCTACCACACAAACATTTAAGTGAAAGATTTGGGTTAAAATTTAAAGTGAATCCTCACTACTGTCATTTAAGGTAAATTATGTCTCTTATTACAAAGTAGTTGTTCTTCAGATTCAAGGCAAAACTGCTTTAAAGCTAAGTTATAGCCTTAAGGAGGAAACCACTGAAACGCTGCCCTCCCTCCTGGCCCCCATGAATGAGTGAGTCTCCGAATACACACCTGAGTACACACCTGTGTGGTGGGGTTCCTGTTTGTTTTGGTTTATTTGTTTTGGAGTTGGGCTGGGGGGTGGGGACTTCAGGGGTGGTCTGCCATCATATGCCTGGCAATTCTGAATGATTAAATCTTGGATGTAGTCAAAGTAATCCTTTGTTTAACTTAGGAGAAAGAAGTTAATTTACTTAAGTTTCTCTAGATAGTTTGAATAATGAAAGTCCTAGTAAATCCATTCCTTAAAAATAAGTTTCTTTATTCAAAAAAGCGAACTCTAGAGTTAAAACAGTGAAGCCATAAAAACTCTCTCCTGCCTACCCCACGACCAACTTACAGCAGGATATACCAGGCGTATTCCCTCACAGGTTAGTAATTCACATCTACCGGCCGGGGCCTCCAGGATTAACGTTCGTAAACACGAACGGAGATTTTGGAAACTGGCATGTGAGCTAACTAGTCATACACGCTTCCTCTCTGAGTCACACAGCCCGATTTTCAGGGATAAGGCATTCTTCTCGAACATTGCCTTTTGAGGAGCAAACACATCATACCAACGGCAACCTCACAGACCTGTAAAAACGAGATAAGGACCTCGCTCTAATAGGTAAATAGTCCAATCAACTTCGAGAGAAAACAGTGTTGCAACTATAAATAACCTGATTTCCTGTGCTCAGCAAAAGTGGCAGTTTAGACTGCAGGGTTTAAAATTTTTTTACTAAGGAGGCTTCCGCTCTGTGACATTATTTCTGGCTGCCCAGAAACTAACGCTTAAAGAAAAAGGGAAATTTAGTCTCCATCTTTGCCCTAGTGGGACACTCTTAAAATGTGAGAAAAGACCTAACTTAGTATTTCTATAACTTAACTGCTTGAGGAAGTGACCCATCTAAAACAAACCGTAGGGTCTCAAGACTCAAAATCTCCAGCTGAACTACGGCAGGACCAGCCCCCAGAGCACCGCCTTCGTCCCGCATTCGTCAACACTCCCACTCAGGTAGGGACCTTGGCACAGGTGCCTAGTGGGATGGGGCTTGGCAGACTGTGCCCACGCTCTACCCAGACAGACTCTCTCCGGACAGGACTGATGTTTGTCAGTTCATGCTAGTCAGGATGTGGAAAGCCACCAGAGGTGACACAACCCATCTCAAACACGGGAAGTTACAAAAGTGGGAGAAGTGCATGGTTTCCACACTGCCCCTCCCACGCTGGCACCAACTACCATGAAGGAGCTGGGCTCCTGCCCTCATCCTGCCGTTTCCTTTGCCAGGTGAGGTGGAGCTTGGCAATTCCGCTTCCTGCCAACCCCGGCTCTCCTCTGACACTGGGGTGGCCCCCAGCCCTCCTTCCCCACTGCAGACCCCAGTTCCCAGACAACAGGGTCACTTAATGGAGAACACAACCGGCAGCAAACAAACAGTATGAAATGCCCAGAGGCCTCCAGCCGGAACACTGCCTCGCCCAGGGTGGCTGCGGGGTGACTCGCTTCTAAGGCTCCCCACCTCCACTCTCCAAGAGTGTTTGCTATTATTTACTGAAAACAACCCTCCCACAGGTTCACAATTGCTTACTGGAAATCCCGGGACCAGGTATGCCTCAGGCTTCAACTAGAAAGGCCATAAGATGCGGGACCATGTATTCTGCCACAATCCCGAGTTACAGCCTTTAACCAAGCCCGTTAACGGGGCTGCAGAGGAATGTACGGACGTGTTCACACGCAGAGGTAAAGACTGAAAAGTCGCCCACCAGCCAGGGCAGGTCTCACGGCCAAATGAATTCTGCCACAAACTTACCCAAAAAAGCAACAACTTTTGGTTTTCAGAACTTACTGGATCCTGGAATTGGTGGGGCAGTGATTTTCAACCTTTCCCATCTCATGGCACATACATATTAGTTACTAAAATTCTGCGGCTCACCAAAATACATATTTCCTGCCAATCTGACATAAAAAGTAAGTATACTTTTGATTCATTCACACTGGATGGCTATTGTTGTGTGGACTGTTGTCACTTTTAATTTGATGATCTAAGGGAAAGCAGATCAGTGCCCCTAACTAAACGGTCAGGTATTGCACGTTTCAAAACATCTTGCGGCGCACCGACTGAAAATCGCTGGAGGAGGGGCTGGTGGGCCAGTGAAGATGGCGCACCTTCTCACACAGGGCCCGGTCCAGACTCCCCTCTCACTATTTCTATGAAGCAGGCATCTCAGCCAGACCCAATCCAGGGTTACGTGAAGGGTTAAGGAGACTTTTGCTATTTCTACTCATTCCTCTGATGGACAGGTCCCTCCCTTCCTCACATCCTCGTTCTCCACGTTTACTCTTTTCTTCTTTAAAAAGTCCCCGCCCAGAGTTCCTTCCTCTGAGCCAGAATCTCGCCCAGGATTAGCATCGCCAGTCCTGGCCATCTAAGGCTTGCCTAGATGGCTCCTCGGAACGTCGGCCTCTGGCAGCACTCCGCCCTTCCTTCTCTGAGGGCCCTTCCCTGCCGTGGATTCCAGGGCCCCTCTGCAGGTTCCCAGGCCTAGAAACCGACTGGGTGAAGGGGTAGGAACCAGCGGAAAGGTCTGGCCCAGGGCGGGAGCTTTACGTGAGGTCCCAGAAGCAGCACAGTAAAATGGACGCTACAAACCCACCTGACCGTCCTCAGCAAGGAAGTTAACTCCCAACTGTGCGCTCAGCAGAGTCTGTTTCTATACCTTTCTCTGGTTTTACCGACTGGGAAACTCCTTCAAGGTAAGGGCAGTCTTCTCATTCTGAATCCCGCACAAACACCAGGTGATTAATTCCTACCTGGTGAAGGAGTGATTGTTTTGGGCTCAAGTTCTCTGTAGTATAAACTTTAAACATCGTAACATGTTTCTTTTCCAAAGTGCATCCTCTCACCTTTAGATATTCATGACCAACCACAAGCCACAGGACAGTGGGTAATAACGAACCTTCCCCACCTCACCCCGGCCCAATTTTAACCCAAATACCCCCCAGCCATGGGAGTTAAGCCAGATAACTGTGAAATCCCGCAGGTCCTGTCCAGACCCCCTGGCCTCAGGAGACCAGCCAAAGTCTGTTTGGGAACTGGGGTCCTGGGGGAGGTGGAGAAGTCCTGCTCCGGTCGAAGGTCCAGGGCAGGGTAAGTGCTCAGAACCGCCCAGCCACAGATGGCGCCAGCCTCAGGGCAAGAGCCCCGCTCTGGGCACCGGCTCCGTGCGCTGTATTTTGTAAAATACCGAACGACCAGCTGGGAGGGAACCTCTAAAGCGCGGGCCTCAGACCTCCGCCCAGCCACACAGCTGGCAGAACCGGTCTCAAGGTCCGTTCGTTCGTCCTGGGGAGGGGCGCCGTCCAAGGAAACCTGCTCTCCTCGCAGGAGGAACTGAACGCACTGAACGGAGAGCAGGGCCGCTCCCACCCGCACATCCTCGCGTGGGGACGTTCATTTCAGGGTCCCCGGCCAGGCGGAGCCCACCCCACCCCAGCGCAGCCAAAGGTGCCCGCTGCCCTGGGCCTTAGAGCGCCAACAAGGACCAAGCGTTCAAAGTCCGACACGAAAGTTTCCCAACGTTTTCCTCTTACCAGCCTCTGAGCCTCGGGGCTCAGACAGTCTATTTCCTTGTTCTGCGTGGCCGCCGGGTTGGTCATCCTGCCGCTGCAAGTCCCGCTCCCCACACCGCCGGGAAAGACTCTGAACGCGGGCTCTCGGTCCGCGGGCGCAGGCTCTCAGCTCAGCTGCATCCCGAGCGCGGCGGTTCCAGCCCACGGACAGACCCGCGACGGCACCGGACTCGCCCTTCCCGGGGCGGAGGCGCCCTCCCCGCTTCCCGGCTCGGGCGCGGCCGCATGGGCGTGACGCAGGTGGCCCCGGCCCGGGTGGGGGCCCCCGGGCAGAGGAGCGGCTCTCCCCGCGCGCCCCGCCCCCGACGGTCCCGCCCCCCATCGGCGCCCCACCTCCACCGCTCAACCGGCCCGCCCCGTCCTTTGTGCGCGCCCCGCCCCGCGTCCCAGCTGCGCGGTTATCAATCACCGCGGCCTCTACCGGAAGGCGGGGTGGGGGGGTGGGTGGGGGCAAAAAGGACCCCAGCCGGCCCCGCCCACAGGCGCGGGGAGGGCGAGTTGAGAGGCGATGGGAAACGGAAGCTGGGGGGAGAGGGACCGTGCGGGGCAGGGTTCTGCTTGGGGCCTTGGGGGGCGGGGCCTGCGGGGGGCGGGGCGAGCTGCCTCCGTTACCCCCACTCCAGTCCCCGCAGTCCGCGCCGCCGGCTCCCGCGGGCTAGTGCCCCGGACGTCCTCCAAACTCCGGCCAAAGTGAGCTTCTACGGACCTGGCAACTCAGCCCGAGCCCAGCAGCACCTGTCGGCCGGGGACCCCCGTTAACGCATCACCTCGAAAGGGGCCGGCTTCCCGGACAACAAAAGTGCGCGGCCCGCGGGGGTGAGAGCAAACATGCCGGGCCGGTGCGCCCTCGCCCGCCTCCCTATCAGCAAGCCGGGGGCGCGGATCCGGTGGCTCAGAGCCGGGGCCGTGCGGTCTAGGGTCTGGCCGGGAGGGCCTGCGGGGCAGGAGCCCAGCGGGAGGGCGTGGGGAGGAGTCGTCCCGGTGCGGGGTCTGGAACCCGACCTCCCAGCACGCGCCCCTCCCGCCGCAGAACGCGGCAGAACGCGCGCTGCTCCTTCTTTAAAAGTCCTGCAGACAAGGCAACGCGAGTCCTCGCCAGGCTCGGGCAGGAGCCAACGGGACATCCTCACATTTAACAGAATGTCTGCCTGTTCTGGCCAAGCCCGGAGCCTGCGGCGCCTGGGGTGCCCCTGCCAGCCCCTGTCCCGGGGACACGTGTGTGAAAGCCGATCTCAGAAAAACCACCTCCCCTCCTCCAAACGGGAACTTCCTGCAGAGTCGCTTGGCCTAATTCTCTGAAAAGGCCGCTCTCTAATTATTGAGAGACCACAAATTCACATTTAAATGTTACAACCCCCCAATTTCCCACTCCCTGCCCCACCTAGTTCTGGGTAACATGTTGGAGCATGACCTTCCCACTCACCTTCCCACTGTGTACAGGGCGCCCCTGCGCACGTGGCTTGGCTTCTGGGGGAGGGGCTCGGGAAGGAAGGGCAGGAGGGCCTAACCTAGGAGGGGTAGGGGCGACAGAAAAGAGGCGGAGGAAAGGCCCAGAGTGGCCCCTGGGGGAGAAATTCCGCAGGTTTCAACCTTGCTTAAGGTGAACAGCGCCAAGCTTTGATGGGTAGCATCCTTGGGCCCATAAAAGTGAATTTTAAAGAGATTGAAATGCCTTTTATTACCTGATTTTCTTGCTCTAACACTTTTAAGTATGTTCATGGATTACAATTCTTGGCTCTATGAAATTAAATGAATTGGAGAAAATAATTCTAAACGGCTCTACATGAACAACTATAGGACTTAGGGAACTTATCATGAAAAGCAATTTGAATTTTAGTAGAGTAACAACTTTGCAGATGAGAATGATAGCCAACCATTAATGTTTGGAGACTTTGGTGTGAATATTCCCACCGAGACAGGCAAAGGTTAGAGCTATGTGCCAACCCAGACCCTATGACCACCGTCCCAGAGCAGGGCCCATGGAGCAGGCACCGTCTACCTGCCCGTCTGTCCCTGAGGAAAACTGCTGCATGCCCCCCCAACCCTAGGGCGCCACGGAGGGATGGGGCTAAGTGTCTCTGGAATGAAGCCATCTGGCCCAGTTTCTGGCTCTGACCCTTACCATGGATGCTGAGCAAGTTACCTGGCCCCTGCGTCTCCAGTCTCATCTGAAACACGCCCATGATGGTGGTGCCCGCGGTGTATGGAGGACGGGAGACACACATGCAGACCAGCTAGGCCAGTGGTCGGCAAACTGCGGCCCCTTGAGTGTGGCTCTTCCACAAAATACCATGTGCGATTGAAACTTCGTGGCCACACTCAAGAGAGCAAAGAGCCGCTCTCTTCCCTCTGCTCCCAGGAAGTCCCCACCCAAGGCGCTCAGGCCCTCCTCCACAGCAGGAAGGAAGCTGGCAATCCTGGGCTCAAACGGCATGACCAGGACAGACTGGGCAGCCCCGGGAGGAAGACAAACCCAGAGCCCCCACAGAAGCTGCAGAAACTAGCTGACTAATTTCAGTTCCAGGAACAAACTACCAGCAATACAATCATAATGGTAGGTGCACAAGAGATGTCTTATTCCACTGAGTGTAGCATATTAGGGAAAACTGCTATTCTAACCTGCTTCTAGACCAGCGGTTTTCTACCTTTTTCATCTCATGGCACACATAAACTAATCACTGAAATTCTTCGGCACTACAAAAAAATACATTTTTTTTGCCGATCTGATAAAAAAAAATAGGTATAATACTGATTCATTCACACCGGACAGCTATTGTTGTGTCGGCTGTTGTCATTTTTTTATTCGACAACCTAAGGGAAAATAGGTAAATCCTTGATTAAATAGGGAAGGGGCTAGTGGCTCTGGAATGAAGCCATCTGGCCCAGTTTCTGGCTCTGACCCTGGGATCCTGAGCCCCCCCAGTAAAATTCTGTGGCACACGGGTTGAAAGTCGCTGTTCTATTCGGGAAGCTGCTACATTCTGACGAGTTTTAGCCCAGTCATTCCTGTGCCGTGGCTGAGTCTCAAACCATAGGACCTACGTCAGTCTATATTATGGGTGGAGTGCTGAACGCAGGCTCCTTGGGTTTATTATTTAGACCCCGGGCCCCAAGAATAAAGTGGAGAGGGCCTAGTTGCCTTCTGTGTTAATTTTGCTATAAATAGTTCTCTAATGAAAAGAACCCCCTTCTTGGGCAGGCCTTTCTCTCCTTTTTATTTTTAACTGATAGCAAGGCCACTCGCGAGGATGATTAATGAGGGACTGGTGGAACCCACAAATTTGGTTTCTTGGGGAAATCCACTAGGAAGCCAAAGGGAGGGGCGTGGCTGTGCAAATTGACATTGTGTTGCGTGAGAATCTGAGGGGCACCACATTTTCATCCCCGTTCTCAGCTCTGGAGGCGGCTTGGCAGAATAATATGAACACTTTACCTTGAAGAAAACAAAACTAAAACCCCCTGTGAGTATCAGGTGAGAAGAAACCAGACAAGCAGCCCCGGGTTTCCATCCTCAGAAGGTCAGCAGAAGAACCCGGTGTGGTGTGAGCAGCATGGCAGGGCGAGGTGTTCAGCAAGAAGGTGACCACCCAGCTGGACCGCCCCAGCTTGGGCCTGGGGTCTCTTCATCAAGAGCTTCGAGGTCGCTGCCACAGGTTCAGTTTTGTCTCCTGTGGTCAGTGTGCCACTTCCAACAGGTGGACCCTGCATTCTGGCCCCTCCCAAGCTGCCAAGCCGTGAATGACCTGTTCACACAGCCGCTATTTCAACCCAGGGACACTGTGCTTAGGGGGCCCCTGAGGTTTTGGGGAAGCTCTGGCTGTCTCGAGCATCCCTAAAAGCCTCCATGCTTGTGCCTTCTCAACAAAAATTAAAGGTCCCAAATCTAAAAAAAAAAAAAAAAAATGCAGTTCTCTGATGTATAAAACTTTATTTCTTTCCTGAGAAAAGAACAAAAGGTAAATAGAATGGTCTAATTTTGTTCTGGGAACATGAGACTCCCAGCTAACCAGCAAATGCCAGAACATTGAACCAATTTGGGGCCACACCCAGGCTGGGTTGACTGGTCTCCATGGTGCTGGTCGGTTGCTAGGTTCACTAGCTTCGCCTCCTGCTGCGGTTTGGTTCTGAGTGCTAGAGCTACAGAGACAAACCCTCCCAGAGGTCCTCCCGCAGAGCGCACGGCGGACGGGGCAGAGTGGCTCCCCGCCTCCCCGTGAGTCAGATAACTGACACAAAACCATTTTTCTAAATCACAGCCGGGACATCTGTTTTCCATGAGTCACTAGCCATGTTGATGACAGCAGAATAAACTTATCTATATCACAGACAGTAACATTATTACTTTATTACTTCTGCAGACAGTTACATTATTACTTTATGTGGATCCTTTGACTAGTATGAAAAAACACTCTTTGCCCTAGCCCGTGGTCAGCAAACTGCGGCTCGCGAGCCACATGCAGCTCTTTGGCCCCTTGAGTGTGGCTCTTCCACAAAATACCACAAGCGGGCGCGCATGTACAGTGCGATTGAAACTTCGTGGCCCATGCGCAGAAGTCGGTATTTTGTGGAAGAGCCACACTCAAGGGGCCAAAGAGCTGCATGTGGCTCGTGAGCCGCAGTTTGCCGAGCCGCAGTTTGCCGACCACTGCCCTAGCCAGTTTGCCTCAATGGATAGAGCGTCGGCCTGAAGGGTCCTGGGTTCCATTCCGGTCAAGGGCACATGCCTGGGTTGTGGGCTCGATCCCCAGTTGGGGGCGTACAGGAGGCAGCCGATCAATGATTCTTTCTCATCATTGATGTTTCTATCTCTCTCTTCCCTCTCCCTTCCTCTCTGAAATCAATAAAAATATATTAAAAAAACAAACAAAAAACACTCTTTATTTAAAGATGTTCATGAAATGATCACCCAGATCCACACTGCACCCCAGTTTACAAAGCACTTCACACATACAGGGCGGCCCACAGAGTTGTCTAACTTGTCACAGACACATGTGGGAAGAATGAAACCAGGCTTTTAACCCAGGTCCCCACTCATGGCCCTCAGGGCTTAGCATCCAGGACACCACCTGACACAGAATTGTCCCTCCCCCCACCCAGCCAGCCAGGGGTCCTCACTGGGAACAGTCAACAGACAGGCTTGGGAGTGTCAGCCACCTCCCTGGGCCTTAGCCTGGACCAAGGGCTTTGGCAAAGCAATGGCCACACCCAGGACGACCTGGGCCGTTGGTAGGAGCGTCGGATGGGGGAGCCTGCCCCTTCCTGCAGTCTGCAGAGAAAGCTATACACCATGGTCAGCTGGCCCAGCTCAGGCCCACAGTGAACTTGATCCTTGGCCAGGATCCTGACTGCCTCCAGTGAAGAGAGCATCCGGGAGTAAGAGTGGCTAAAAAGCACAGTGAGCTTGCTTCTAGCATTAAACAGCTCCTGCTAACAGCCCGCCCCTGTGCTGGGATGTCACACACGCTTCATCCTTAGGCCTGCCATGACCCGTGCTCCCTCTCCCCTCCTCCCAGACTATGAGGGGGCTCTTCGGGTATGGGGGCACCTTCTCACCACCCCATACATGATGATGGATGATTCTCCTAATAAAGTGAGGACTGATAGGTCATCATTAACTCTCATCAATCTCAACTATTTCATATTTTTGTAGCAACTGGGAATGGAAGCTCTCTTTTAAAAGGGGCACCCCTTGCTCTGGCCAGTGTGGCTCAGTTGGTTGAGTGTCATCCTGTGCACCGAAAGGTTGCCGGTTCGAATCTTGGTCAGGGCACATGCCCAGGTTGCGGGCTCGATCCCTAGTGGGGGGCGTACAGGAGGCAGCCGATTGATGTTTGGCTTTCACATCAATGTTTCTCTCTCTCTCTCTCTCTCTTCCTCTCCCTCTCCCTTCCTCTCTCTCTAAAACTCAATAAAAAAATAAAAATAAATAAAAGTGGCATGTCTTTAGGAATGACTACTCAGCTTCCAGCAATTCACCACACTTCTTCTTCATCTAGATTTAAAAGAAACTCCCTTTGGACTTTTTAAGGAAGGTGAAGAGCCAGTGGCAGAAAGCGGGGTGCAGGTGCCCCGGGCACTTTACCCAGAAATACGAACTGGTATAAGATGACGATGAACACGGTAGCATGCCTGGAAGAGAAGGAGGCTTGGATGCCTACATGGATTGAGTAAGAGGTATGTCAGGAACAAGCCAAGACAGACAGGGTGGTTAGAGAAACAGAAAACAGAGGTGTCTCCTGGCAGCCAGCACTCGCCCACGTCCCCAGAGGCTGGTGTGAGCAAGGGAGCTAAACAATGCAGGTGAGGTGTAGAGAGCAGGCCGAGCAAGCGTTGCGTTTGCAGCCAGAAAAACCTGGGCGATTGCGTCCTGCTGTTAAAATTCTACAAAGAAACGTTTTCAACGACATGGTGGATTGCAGCCCGAGAGGAAGGCCGGCCTTGGGGAGGGTTTTGAGGTGCGTGGAGATTTGTTCATTTGTCTGTCTGTTTGTAAGATGGATGGGAAAGACCCAGCAGAGCCTGCTTGGAGGTTGAGAAGTAGGAGTCCAAGGAGAGAGGAAACAGTGAGGCGGGGGTGGGAAGGGCCCGAGAGAGACCCGTGACTACGGGGCGGCAGGAGCAGGGTGGGGCGCGTGGATGGACTCCCAGGATTCTGAGCTAACTGGAGATGAGAAAGCCAAAGGGGGCAGAAGAGGACAGACGACAAGAGGTGCTGTCTGTAGCAGGGACTGTGGCCCGGAGCTGGGGGAGGATGACCAGCAGGCGGAACCGAAATGGAAGGACCCGTCACAGGGCTGCCTCAGACCCAGCCCGGGGAACAGTTTTCAGAACCTGAGCAGAACCCTTCCATGGAGTTCCAGCAAGTCCAATAAGGCTGCCACAGGGTAAAATCTGACCCACATGGAGAACAATTTCTGATATATTTTACTCTGGAATTCAGTTCATCTCCTAAAGTGTCCAGGAATGAGTCCATAGCAACCTGGAGAACAAATGTACCCGTTTGCCAATCCAGCCCTCGGAACTGGGGGTCCTTAAAGCCTGGCCAGAGTGATCACAGACACATCCCCTGTATATCGTCACCGAGGAAATGGCCACAAACGCCTTCGATGCAATCTCTCAGGCCAACCAGTCAGTTGCTCATGAACACGGTGCACTGCGAGTGCCAGCTGATGTTTTTCTGAAACTACTGAGAACAAAACAACTAAAACCCATTCTGTATTTCTCAGTCATATGGGAACACTCTGAAAAGTCCCCCAAATGAACTATCATCCAAAGAGAACAACCTATATGCTCTGTCAGAACAGCCCATCTAAATGATTTTGATCAGAATAGATAGTAACTTGGGAAAGTCGGCTTTATTCTCGAGGACTGTATTCACCAGCCAACGGGGCACCCCACTGAGAAGAGATAAATAAATGGAATAGAAAACGATGATTAAAAAATGAAAGCAACACCCACTCTTTTGGCTGGGGCCCCCGTCAGCCTGCCTGTGAGTGCAGCGCTCCGGGACAGACAGCAGGCTCCCCACAGTCCGCTCTCCGACACAGACCTTCGCCCGGCTGGCTGGAAAGTCCAGAAACCACCCATGTCCGCTGGTGTGACTGACAGCTGCCATTCACGGAAGGGCCTTGTGATCTGAATTTCAGCGGTACCATAGCAAACAGGGAAAGCCAAAGGCCCTGATGATGAACTCCGAGGTTTAGAAAACCAGGCACTCTTGCTGAGCAGCTGGACTTGAAGAGGAGCTGACTCAGGGACAGACAAAGACATCGGGAGTGAGCCGCCTTCTTCCCACGGTGTGCAAATCCGACAAGAGCATCCCTACAGCACTCTTTCTAAGAAAAGGAATTTTCCTAAAGGGGAAAAAAAAACCAACTGCCGCACACTTGAGCACAGAACTAAAAACACATGCCCACACCCCAGTGTGAGGGGTCCCCCCTGCAGTCTAGTCCCTGAAATACAGGTCAGAGAAAAGCCAGCAACCATTCGAGGCCAGATTATGAGCCTTCGGTTGTTCACCTTCTTCATGAACAAATCGATACCTTTGCAGAAGACGTTAGAGGAGAATATAAAAGCCTCACCTTTGAAAAATGAAGATTTTAGATGACCTTCAAGGGAAGTTTGAGGACGAGCGAAGAACAGCAGGCTGAAGAGACATGTTTGGCCTGAGAGTGGAAATTCTGGAATAACTGGAGATCAAATAGCCACTCCTGACCACGTCATCTCCGAGTACCAGCAGAGAGGTCCATTAAACTCACCCTTCTACGCAACCTCACGGGGCAGCTGGGACCGCCTTCGATTCATGGAGGGGGTGGCCCCAGCCCACCACAGCTTTCCAAGGGCTTCTCCTCACCAAGGTCCGACCTGAGCTACTCAGATGGCCTTGGAGCCCGTCCTCGTATCCCCACTGCCTCGGAGCATCCCTGCTAAATGTGGGATTAGACTTTATAGGGAACTCTAATATAAACACAGAGCAGGGCTCCTTAACCTCGCACTGCTCACTTCTCGGGCCAATAATTCTTTGCTGTGACGCCTGCTCTGAGCCACAGCAGCCTGTCCTCACACAGTCGGTGCCAGCAGCACTCTCCACCCTCGTCCTGACAACCCGACGTCTCTCCAGACACTGCCAAAGGTCCCCTGGGAGGCAAAAGGGTCCCCATAGAGGGCCCCTGATCTGGAGGGGCTTGTGCCTTTATCCAGGTGCCCACATTGTACAAGCAGGTTGACTGACCAGCCTGTACAGGTAAGTCATGCAAACCCATAGCTAAACATGCACAGAGATGGCGGTCAAGGTGGGAATACTTCAACACATCATCTAATCTCAGTGGCCCGAGTTTCCACTCCGGAAGAACTCCAAGTGCATCTAAGAACTCCCAGCCCCCTAGTTACTGCGGTGAGGGGTCAGGCAGAGCAGGAAGGCGGGCACCCTACCCTCAGGGATGGGAAGGGGCCACAGGGTGGGAAGGAAGCTGAGCTCAGGGCCCACACGGTCATGTCATGGCTGAGCGTGTGATCGCAGAGGTGGGCTGTAAGCAACAAGATCAGAGAACTGATAACTGGAGGCACCTGCAGGGTCCACACAGAGAACGGGGCTGACGGCACAAAGCCCTCACACCGCCAGAGCACAGGTTTGGGAGGAAATCTACGTGGAGTCCCCGCTCCGACACGGCTTAGTTGTAGTTCTGGGCACTCCCGGGACCTCTTCCAGCTTCCTGTGCTTCCCGGCAGGACGGCAGTGACGGTGGGAGCCCAGTCTGGCATGAAGACGTGCCCTCACTGAACCTGCAGCAGGTCTGGGGGTTATTCTAAAGCACAGATTACATTTCCTGCAAAATAAGGGACTCTGGGATTACAGTTTACATACAGGTTCTGGGAAGCCGCAGGCTGTCTGGCGTCACTTAATTAGCGTGGATTAGGTTTATGGCTTTCATCAGCACTTTTTGGGGTGCTCGGGGAGCGTTGCCCTCACCCGGGCAG